TAGATGTATATGTAGTTAGGAATTTAAATGGCATTTGTTCCTTATCTTATGCTTATTTGACAAAAAATACTCTTTATGCTGTGTTTTGCATACAAATGGAATAGCAGTATGTATTCATTGTAGTAATTCTGCTATAAAATTTTGATTTCAAAAAAGTGGGGTTTTTTACTTTGTTCGAATTTGTATTACATATCTGTAATATAAATTATGTGGCTCTAAGTGACAGACTTCTAGGTTTTATACCCAAACAGGCTTTTATTGAATTAAAAAAAAATGTCATGGCTACCTATTCATTAGCTTGCAGATGATAAACTGTGGAAATAAAACCTGACTGTTTTTACCACATTTCTGTCTCTGCATACATATTAAAAGCTCTTTTCAGTGTAAAGATCTGGATTATCAGAATTGATCTCGTCTACCCCATTAGTCTCTTAAGTATAGTTCCGGATATTCCTGTTGCTATTTGTCTTTATTGCATTTCTATATTTAAGTGATATGTATAGCAGAAATAGCCTACTGATTGCTGTTTGTTTGTAAAGCTTCTTGGAGATGTTTTGTACAATGGGTCTCAACTCTCTTTTGTTTAGAGGTGCCTTTTCAAAGCAAAAAAGAGCCAGGACACCTTTACAGAAGAGGAAGTTGGCAACATGGAAAACTGATCCTTAATTTTGAGTAGGTATGAAGCAGCAGTGCACTGCTTTTCAGAACTGCTGTAAATTAGGTTGAAATACCTATTTCTTACTTTGATTTTTCTAAGATGTCATTTTTAGATCCCACATCAACAAATCCTCCTATTCCTTCAAGTCTGAGATAGAGCTATGTTATGTTATGCATGAACGGGCTGTACAATGAACAGCTGGAACTTATGCACAAATGGATTTTTTTTTTTTTTTAAGCAAACAGTAATTGTAGTATGTCTTTCCAAGAATAGCTTCTTTTGGAGGAAAGTAATATAGTAGAGACAGGTGATACTCGGGATCAATATATGATTAAAAAAAAGGAGTTTGTTGTTAGAATAAAGACAAGGCAATTTCTTGTAGTATTTAAATGTTCAATGTGACAAACAAAATATGTAGGTAGTCTTGCTTGTGCAGCATAACTGAAATGGTTTCTTTTAAGAGGTGATCTTCTACTGCCCAGTCATTGACTGATGTGTGGATCAGTAAATGTCATGATAGAACTGAGTAATATTGCTTGGATTTTTAAACCTTTTTAATATGGTAGCCTTTTAGTCTGTCTTCATCTCTATAGTAGATGAACCAAATGCTGTCTTTTGCAACTTCTGTGTCTAACCTACATACACATGGCACTCCTAGCTATTTCAAACATGTAGTTGGTATTGTAAAAATTGTTACTGTGGTTGTATGAGAAGCACTTGTCTTTAAGGTCCACCAACTAGATGTATGAAAATAGGGCTTGAAATTCTAGTATATGCAATAAATACTTCTGTTCACTGTTGAACTAATTAGATGCTGTGTCATGCCTTGTCTTGAATAAATTTAAGATCACATCTTCATTCTGCTGTTTCTTTTAAGAAAATTAGGCCATTCTTTGTTTTGCCTTCACTCCCTTACCTTGTTCTTTGTTTTCATTCTCTTCTGTATAATTTACTGTTTCATTCCTAAGTTTTTCTGCCATTGTTCTCTCTTCTTAATTTTGATATCATTCTTCCAAGTTGCATAGTTGGAGAATTTCATTCACCAAGGAGGAAAGAAAGATCGTCCAAGAACTGAATATTTATGGACACAACCTGCTATTGGATGAAACCAGAGAGAAGGTACCATACACAGCTGTTGAAAGTAATATTCGGTCTCTGGGCTTACCAAATTTACTTTGTACTTCAGGTGAACTGTGTCTTGACTAGTCAAGTCTTTATGTATTGACATATTGTTTACAGGAATCGTGTCTTCATTTGCTCTTACATAACTGGCACTAGATTATATTAATAAATGTTCTCTAACTCTACATTATTTTTTAGGTAGATGGGGTGGGAGATACTAGTTCATTTGTTAAAACAGTATCTTTGAGAGACTCAGTCTTCAGAAGTTCAGTCAGTATTGGTTTTGTGTTTTACTGAAGTAGGTTTGCATCTTTAAAATTCCACTTTGGCTGTCCTGTTCTTCAGCTCTTTGGCCTGTGTGTTATGCAGATGCTTGAAGGAAAGGATAGTTTTAACGTGAAATGTTGATTTTTTTGATGCCTTCATAGTATCAGTCATATGTTGAGCTTTCCATTAGGCTTTTTTCTGCATTTACAGTGCTGATTGTGCTGACTTAGCTTGTGAGGCAGTAGAATGAAAATCTTGGAAAATAGATGAAGTACTTAAACGGGATCTTTCTGGAGAATCTTGCAGTCTACTTCTTCCCTGGTCACTGCTAATAATGCTTAATTTCCTAACATGGAATCAGCATAAATGTCTTCTGGAGGAATGGCTTGTGCTTTGGACTATGGAAATGTCTTGTGAGGGGCTAGGAAATGCACTTCCTGAGACAATGGAAAGAGTTGTAAGTGATGTTCTTTTGCATGGGTTTTGTCCGTTTGATATCACACTCCTGTCTAGTTCTACTTTTGTAGTTTTGGGATTGAAATTTGCACAGCAGAGATCTTGATCTGTTTTATTCTCAATGCTTATGGTAAATTTCCCAAATCCTGTAATCTTTATCAGGGGGTAAAAGATGGGATCTGGATCTTACTGCTTTTAGAGAAGCTGAAGTTCTTGATGCAAGTAACACTGAAAATACTGCTAATATAATTATTATCAGCTGATACCTTTTTTTAAAGTCCTACTTGGAATTGAGTAACTCATAATCCTTAGTGGAAGGAAGAGTGTTTGGAAAAGCAATTTGTTTACACTTGGTGGACTTCTGGGACTTTAGGTAACTTAGTTATGAGTGAGTCCCTTGTGGTTTAATGCCAGACTGTAGGCTGGAGCAATGCCTGCATCAGCTGCTAAATGTTTATATTTCACTGTAGCCTTCACTAGTTGCAGTAGACTGCATTTAGTTGTGCCGCTCATTTCTGGAGGGATGTTGTGGAATTCAACTGGAGTGGATCTGAACCTCAGAAATGAACTTCTGTGGGGTGATGGGATATTTTGTGGTGAAGAGCACTCATCAGCCCATGGATGAGGACAGAGCTGCTCTAGCTGCCCACCTGGTCTCCTGCCTCAGCACAGTTCAAAATTATGAATGTAGCAGTTCCTAGGATTAGGGCAACATCAGTGCTCATATCGATACTAAACTGTAAATTGTTATGTGTTCAACTTCCCTTCTTTCCTATGATGACAAAATTGTTTGGTTGCCCCTTGCTTAGGTTGTCTGATATTTCTGTTCTCCTTTTGTAATGAAGTGCAAACTGGATAGATAATTTAATCTTGGATGAGTTGTTTGCTTCAATTTCAACTTCTAAGTGTAAAAAGAGGCTTAACAGATAAGCAAAAGGACAACAAGTGATAGTTTTGTTTGCTGACAGTGTAAAGAATCTTCTAACACATGATGACTTTTTTCAAAACCAGTTTTGAAGAAATAAAGGCAACCTGTAGACAGTTATAAACTGAGTGTTTTTTTCAGGAGTACGAATGGAAAATAGACTGGCATTCAGCATTTACCTCCAGTTGAAAGGCAACCATAGATTGTGAAGAAACTTCAGTCAGTTAAGAGGATTTTGCAGTTGAGCAGCTGCAGTGCAACATGAACTAGTGTTGAGGACAAATCTTGGGCAATTACTTCATTCTTCTGTCAGATGGGGTAGGATAAACATAATGGTGTGTGTTTAGTGATTCAAAAATGGATGATTTGGCATTTGAATTGCAACCTTGTCATGTTGTTACTGCGTTAAGGTCAAACTTAAAATACCAACTAATATAAGTTGAACACTAGTGTGTGTGTGGGAGCTGGAGTCAGGCAGAGCTCAAGAGCAGTGAGCAGCCTGGTGACAGCTCTGTATAAGGCTGGTACCACAGCTGGTAGATTGTGCAGTGGAACAGAAGGAAGGTTAAACAAGCTTTTATAATCCCTCCTGCCCTGTTCTGGGGATTGAAAGGTACATTGTTGTGAAATGAATGTATTTATAATTTGATTTCCTCTCAGGAGAAGGCAAGCATAATGCCTTGCAAACTGATAAAATGTGTCCTTTAGCACAGTCTTTTGCAGAAAGTATTGGTTACCTGTTAGGCAACATGCTACTTCTGTTACTACAGGAAATTTGAGCTAATGCCGAAGTCATACTGGGATTTTTTGTTCTCTTTGAGCTGATTGAGCTGTGAGAAGTCCTCTGTGTGTCAAATGGGGAAGCAGAAATCTAGAGCTGTCTGGAGAAAAGTAGGGGGAGGTTTAAAATACTGTTTGCTCACAAAACAGGAGGAATGGTTTGTACTGTGATGAAATAAGGGTAGTTTTGTTGGAAGAAAGACTAATAGGCTAGCAAGTTTTGGGCTGTAATGCATCAGATGATCAAGTGCTAATCTTTTGTAGATGCAGAATGATGGCATGCTCTGTTCGGCGCAAGTTTTTATGCAGTCCATATTTGCCTCGATTAAATATGAAACATACTCTGAGTTTTGTGCTATGCCAAAAGGAAGAAATTTTGTTAACATTGCTGGAGATGCCTTCTTCACATAAGTTGATTTAGTATGGAAGTTGATCTTAGGTGGATTTGGAGTTGATGGGATGAGTGTGTAGTTTGTATATTTATAACCATTTTCTAAAAGAACAAAGTTACTGCTGCCACTAGGTGATATGTTTTTGTTACATTTTCAGGGCATCTTGTTGATGCAAGAGAAACTGATAATAAGTGAAGTTGTGTATATCATGCTCTTTACTGACTTTGATTTGGTGTTTGGCTTTTTCAAAGCTTATCATAAGGCTAGATGTAAAGCTTAATTTTCCTGTAACTCATGTCTTTCAAATGGTGGCTACATAATGTGGACAGGTTTTCAAATGCCTTTTAATAAATGCAGTCAAAGCTCCCTCAAAACATGTAATTTTTGGTTTTTTTCTCTTTAAGGTTTGGACCCCATGGAATCCCTGTGACCATATTTCCTAAAAGGGAATACAAGGATAAACCAGAAGCCATGCAGCTCCAAAGTAAACCATTCCAAGATGAGGCACAGGTGAAGTGTGAATCTAATGCTGCAGTCCCTGATGACTCTTCTCTCACGCAGCCATCAGAACCTAGCATAGCTAAAAGCCTATGGACTTCTAAACCACCTCCTCTCTTTCATGAGGGAGCGCCATATCCTCCTCCTTTGTTTATCAGGGACACGTATAACCAGTCAATACCTCAGCCTCCACCCCGGAAAATTAAGCGGCCCAAGCGTAAAATGTACAGGGAGGAACCCACTTCCATCATGAATGCTATCAAACTACGACCCCGGCAGGTCTTATGTGACAAGTGCAAAAACAGTGTTGTTGCAGAAAAAAAGGAAATAAAAAAAGGTGGCAATGCAAGTGACTCTTCAAAATATGAGGATAATAAAAAACGAAGAAATGAGAGTGTGACTACTGTGAATAAAAAACTTAAAACTGACCATAAAGTGGATGGAAAAAGCCAAAATGAAAGTCAGAAAAGAAATGCTGTGGTCAAGGTTTCAAATATTGCCCACAGCAGAAGCAGAGTAGTTAAAGTTTCCGCACAAGCAAATACTTCAAAAGCGCAGTTAAATACAAAAAAAGTTCTCCAGAGCAAAAACATGGATCATGCGAAAGCTCGGGAAGTCTTGAAAATGGCCAAAGAAAAGGCACAAAAGAAGCAGAGTGCAACCTCCTCTTCCAAAAATGCACATTCAAAGGTCCACTTCACACGGCGTCTTCAGAACACCAGCTCAGGTTCCCTTCCACCCCGATTGCGTTTAAAGCCACAAAGGTATCGGAATGAAGAAAATGACTCTTCTCTCAAGACAGGACTTGAGAAAATACGGAGTGGCAAGATGGCAACTAAGCCCCAGTCTCGCTGCTCCTCCACCCGCTCAGCAGGTGAGGCCCCTTCAGAAAATCAGAGCCCCTCAGAAGGCCCTGAAGAGGCCAGCAGTGAGGTTCAGGACACGAGTGAAGTGCATGTAACTGTTGATCAGGATGAACACCAGACATTGGGCAAAAGAGGCAGCAAAAGCAATATAACGGTTTACATGACCCTTAATCAAAAGAAATCTGACTCTTCCAGTGCATCAGTTTGTAGTAGTGATAGCACAGATGATTTGAAATCTACCAACTCTGAGTGTAGCTCTACTGAAAGCTTTGATTTTCCTCCAGGCAGCATGCATGCACCTTCCTCCTCCTCTTCTTCAAAGGAAGAGAAAAAGCTCAGTAATTCCTTGAAAACGGAAGTCTTTTCCAAAAACGTCTCTAAATGTGTCACACCAGATGGCAGGACCGTATGTGTAGGGGACATTGTTTGGGCCAAGATTTATGGCTTCCCTTGGTGGCCAGCCCGTATTCTTACCATAACTGTGAGCCGAAAAGATAATGGCCTTTTAGTTCGACAGGAGGCTCGTATCTCGTGGTTTGGCTCCACAACAACATCTTTTCTTGCTCTTGCACAACTATCCCCCTTTTTAGAAAGCTTCCAGTTGCGCTTTAATAAGAAGAGAAAGGGTCTTTACCGCAAGGCCGTCACAGAGGCAGCTAAGGCTGCTAAGCAGCTGACTCCCGAAGTTCGGGCCCTGCTGACGCAGTTTGAAACGTGAACATGGAAAGTAAGGTAGGCAAGAAATCTGGAGGCTCCACAAAATTCATAGCCTAGTTAGAGAACTACCATGAAGGACTTGCCAAGTCAGAAGTTGCACTCGGTTGACTGCTCTTTTTATACTAAAGTTCCATTTGTAGCGGTTTCTTGACAGTTAAAGCAAATTGAACATGCAATCAAAATTAGCCTAAAGCGAGAACTTTGGTATTTTTAAGTGAGAATTTTTTTAAAGAGAAAAAAAAAAAACCTCCTCAAACACCCAATGCATAGGAGCCATAGCCTCAGCTGAAAGGCAGCTTATTTGCAGGGAATTTTTTAGTAGTTTCTACCCAGTATATAGTAGTTGCTGTGTGGCGAAGGGTTAACACAAGGGATGAAAGTAGTAGCTGTGACTTTTTTTTTTTTAGGTGGCCCATCAGGGAAGTATAGAAATGTAAGCCTTGTCTAAATGGTCTTTAAAGATTATTTTAAATAGTCTCTAATGTATTTAGTCTGGCCAGTGCAAATTGGTTCAGAGCATGCTTAAACATCTTCAGGAGGCATGCCCCAGTCCATATAGGCCAGTTTAAATATCATTAGAAGACTTGCTAAAACTTTTAAGGAAGAAGAATTCACGTAACTTAAAGACCAGATTAAATGGGGTTTTATCGTAGTGACCACTTAAACACTCAGCCTTTCTATGCACATGGGGGCACAAATATAACACTTCAGGGTCTGAGAAGCTGAGAGGGATGCCTGTAGCTCTAAGACAAAGCTGAGAAGTCGCTCAGTATTTGGGATCAAGGGCTGTTAATGCTGCATAGGTGTGAATCATAACTTCTGGTCTTTCTTCCTGAAGAAATCTTTCAGGCCATTTGCCTGGAGGTTTAGATTAAGAGAGGCTTTGTTTTGAATGTGTAAATAATTGATTGATGAAATTGGTCAGATTTTCTCCTGACTGGTTGTTCCTAAATTCTTAGGATACGTCCTAGTAAATTACACTTTGTGAATTGTCAGATGTGTAATTGTTGCATTTTGGATGTATCTAACTTCATTTTTTTTAATATTTCCGTTTAAGGTATCTGTTTGCAGGTCAGAAAATGAGAATATGTAATTGTGTAATGCTCTGAAATGTAAAAAAACAAACTGTAAATAAAATTGACTAAATCTGAATTATTTGTGTGTGTTTCTCAAAAAGCTTTGAAAAAAATCCAGGATGTTAGAGTACTTCATATGTATGCCGTATTTAGAGGACACCTTTTTAAAAACCAAATTGTCCTTTTTCACGCATTCTTAAAGATAACTGCTTGATGTAAAGTACTGTTGGTATACTTCAGTCTTAATTTTAAGATTAAGCAATTATTTGTCCCTTTTATTTCAAAACTAGCTCTGTAGAGGGCTTTCTGTAAAGTTTATAAATTTTCTCCCTTAATTAGATTTTGTTCCATATATTTGAATAGACTGTGGATAATGTCACTTACACAGTGGGGAAATGTTTTCAGTTTTCTCCATCTATCAAAACCTAATCAGACCCACTCTCCACTGCTACTTCAGCTTTTCTTGCATGTCTTTTGCTCAATGTTGGGGCATTTTCATGCAACTGACTTCACTTTTTTTTTTCTTCTAGTTTTGGTCCTTATCTGACCATGTGAATTACTCTCTCTTCTCTAACCCACTACTGTTTCAGCCTTGCAATACCTTGTGAAGAATCTCAACGTTCATTCCAAAGCAGTTTTCATCCTGTTTTTTTCATAATTGCCCATGTAGGCAACCATGACAGATGTAAAAATTTAAGCTTAGACTGAAATTAGACTTTAAACAGACATGAAAATGGGGATAAGGATTTAATTGTCAAACCCTTAATCTTTCTAACTTCAGATTAAATTTTGTATGTTCATGACACTGTCTGGTCTTTCCAAGGCATTCAGTCTCTTTTTACCTTTTTGAATTCTTCTGTTCTGTTCACAGAACTATTAGAAGTCTAAAGTGTCAAATACATGGCTGTTCAAATTTTCCTCAATTTTATGGTCATCTGTTAGGTGCTAATTAAGCTTCCAAATATACCAGCTTTACCTTGGCATTCTAACAGTTACCAAAAAACCCCACTGGTCAATGCTTTTTGAATGTGATAAACACACAATAAATTTCATAATATTGAAAAAAAAAATTGGAAAAAAAAAAAAATCCTGTTTCACTTCTATGTATTCTTTCCTGCAAACAGAAACAGTTACTCTTAAGTAAAGCTGTACTTTGTTACTAAAGCAGACTGCTTTTTGAAGTCAAGAACACACAACATGGTTTATATGCCTACGCTCGTTCCTTGACGTTTAGAAGCTCAAACAGGTTATAAGTTAGTTCTGAGCCAAGTAGTGGTGAAATCAATATTAATGTTGTTATTTTTCTTTAAAAGACCTGGAAGCTTTGTACTCTTTATCAATTTATATCAAGTTAGAATAGTATTAAAGCATACATAGTCGAAGTTTGCTCAGGTGTTCATGGTAAGATGGGAAAGCAACAACTATGAGAGGGGTTTCTAGATTGTTTTATGTTCAGAAGAACTGTTTATGAAAAAAATTTAGAGTCTTAGTTTTGATGTGTAATTGATCAGTCTTAAGAAGTCTTTCCTAAGTTTTATAGTGAATGTGCATTATTACTTCAGACTTAACAGGTCTCAAAACAAATAGAACACCACCACGTTACATTAGGTTGAAAATACCTTGTTCGTACCCATCCATGATTTTCCTTTCACTCTGAAGTAGCTAACACTCTAGATATATCTCAACAGACTTCACAGTAGAGAAAATGTTGGGCTTAATGTGAGTCTGGTTACAGTAAGTAACATTGGTTATGGCAGTATGAATGCTGCATGTAGATTAGCTTTGAAGACTTAGAAAAAGTTTAGTGCTGTTTTACCTATAAACTGCAAAACCCTTACACTTTTCTGTGCCTATCTACTCCCAGCAGTGCCTACACTTTGAGCGTGGACTACTGTTCTTGCAGTTGGATACACAGCTACCATCTCCGAGTTAGCCTGAGAGTTTAAGTGACTTCTTAACTCATGACAGGAGCAGACCTGTACAAGTGCCAAGATAGTGCATATGTGTAATTAAGCTGTGCAACTGTTGCAAGCAGCCTGTGTCTTGGGAAGACAAACAGCAGTAGAAAGAGTTAGTTTTCTATTAGCTTAATATAATAAATTTCAAATTATGTCTTTTTGAATTAATTAAATTCCTCAGTGTAGTTGTTGAATATGCATGGTCTTTCAGTTTAGGGGGAAGACATGATGGGAAATGATGAGTTTCTAGTACAAGCATACTTTTTCCTTTGAAGATCTTTTGCTTCAGTTAAAATGTTTGAGAGAGTAGTTATTCCAAAACTCATAAAGATTTCCTTTAACTGGAGTGTTTGAATGTGCGATTGCTCCGTGAGCAAATACGAAATATTTGTATGTCTCTGAAATGGAGTTCTACAGGAAACTGAACAAATACTTGTTATTTTTCTAATCAGAGTTGTAATTTTATGTCAACACTTAAATGAGATAATCACCTCTGATTATATGGTATTTTCTTTTAGACAGTGCTATCTTTAGTTTGAAACCTACATAACTAGCAGCTACCTCACCAGGAGGGGTGTGTTTAGTTGGGGTAATTTAGGTCAGCTGTGCAAGGTTGGGAAGTCTTTATCAGCATCTTGTAAAATGCCTTTTTTTTTAACAGTTTCTAAACGAGATTAGGTTTAAGAAATAGCACATCAATAGAAGTGAGGAAGGGGTAAGAGTTCCTTTTTGGCATTGCTAGTCTTAGGTTTGTTTCTAGTTAACTCTCTTGAGTCCTGAAACTGATTTCTATTCATGTCTTCTATAAGCTCTTGCTAAAGTTGTCACAATAGAATAGGAACATGAAATTTGGAAAATAAATCTTAGTAGCTAGTTCTCAGTAGCATTATCATCTTTCCTCATACATGTTCTGTGGAGTACAGTGAGAAAATAGAGCTGCCTTCTTGGCTGAAGAATTCTGGAAAGGAGGAGGCTGACAATCAGTGAAAGGCTATTTCAGTTAATTTCTTTATGATTGTATTTTAATAAATGCCTACAGGAATCAGAAAATTCAGTCAATGCAGTGGGATCACTATGCTAACCTGTAGATAAAGACTGTGAACTGGAAGTTGAGTAGAATGAGCTCATGATTAAAAGGGCAGTAATATGACAGTATTTTGCGTCATAAGCCATTGGTAAAACTGTAGGTATACTATTTAAAAACAAACTTCAAAGTGATCTTATGGTAGAGTTTATAGTGGTTAAAAGCTGAGGTGCTTTCTGTTCTTATTTTCAGTCTACTTTTTAAGGGTATAAATAGAAAGGTGATAGGGGAACCTGAAGGAAGAGAGGAACTTGGTGTAGTCAACTAGATGTGCTACTGGGAGGAGAGCTACAAGTTGGCAGTTTGAGTATAACACGTTACTCCACAAGTTCAGTAGAAGGGAGTAGTGCTCTCCTATTTTAGAGAGCCTGTAGGAGAATTTTGGTGAAATGTATATTATTGTCCTACAGTCAACTGTTTGAACTTTATCTAGAATCTACTCCATTCCTGTGGAAATGGAGTGTCTTACTACAGGATTTTGTCAGTTTAAGCTGTGCTTATATTAAGTGTGTGTCGTTTTAGGATAGGACATAGTAGCGTAGCTTTTGGGTGTATAGACAGGCTATACTGGCAATAATATAGTAAAATTATCCCTATAAATAAAGTATCAATAGCAACAGAGGTTTTGCATAATTAACTTCCTTAAAGCTTCTTCTGATGTCACTATAGTGATCAGAAATCATCAATGTTTAACATCAGGACAGGTAGAGGTCTGTAGCATTGAAAACTTTCGTAGTAGCTGTCAAGCTATCTGAACATCCATTAGATCCAAGCTTGTGAGGTGTGGATGTAAGTATTCATCTCCAAATTATTCTTAATCTGTAATGAGAAAAACCTCTGTTTTGATACATTCCCTTAACAATTATGATGGCAATCAAGTTCCTATTCAACATGTAA